CACAATTATCGTCACCTTAAATAAATTTAAAAATTTTTTTTTACAAAATTAAAATGAAAAAGTCAATAAATAAATAAATAAAAAACAAATGATTAAATCATAATAAGAATGTAATTCTTTCACGTTGACCGATTTCTTTTGAACTGTATGCCATGATTCTTATTGCACCTTTTAGAAATCTGTAAAAACTTGATATTTTGACCCATTTTTCTTACTTTTTGTGATTTAACTTTTTTTTTGTTTTTCACGGTACGTTATGATAATACCAGAATAAACATAATTAGGGACGTTTGTATATTTGTAGCTCCTTATTGTTTATCCCAAAATAAAAATTTGAATATTGTGAATAAAAAAAAAGGCAAATATGAATCAACTAACTATCTCATTAGTGTCAGTGTTATTATATTTTTCAGAAAATTTGTTAAAATTACTACGCTTGGCCAATCTTGCTTTTTAACCTCCGATTTTTTCGCTTTTTGAACATCTTCCATCCTTTGTCAGGCCCGTAAAATAATTTTGTTACATATCTTGCTGTCTCTTTGAGGTTATCGTTCTTACTTTTTTTTCTGAGTGATTTGATCACAAAATAATTACAAGACGATATGTACACATTTATATCATCATCATGATGGTGACTTAATTTTTCCAATCGTTTTTATTACGATGGAAAGAAAAAAAAAAAAATTTATGATTTAACATCGACCATCCCCGCTTTTATACTATGCCATGATTCTAATTTCACCTTTTGAATGTCTACGAAAACATGATAATTTTTAATAATCCTGCTAACCCTTAGTAATATACTTTTTTTTCATAGCTTTTCACTCTCCGTTATCACAATTTTCAAACAAACCTAATTGAGAGCGTCTACAAACATTTCTAAAACGTGCAAAGATTGTCGCAAACTTTTCTGATTCGATTTCCAGCTAAATACCTCATTAGCGAAAGTAATAACATGTTTTTGCGGAAACTTGTCGAATCTGCTTTTTTGGCCCAACTTGCTTTTCTTTCAAGTTAAAGCATTTAAAATTGAAGATATATCTTAAATGTGAAAAATTCAGGTTACGTTTAAATGTTAATTTTTATATTTTTCGCTCTTTGATATCCATCCGTCCTTCGTCAGACCCGTAAAAATTGTTTTTTTGCGCATCTTACGTTCCCTTCGAAATAATCGACTTTCTTTTTTTTTATTTCGTAGTATTTTGGTCACAGAATCATTTCAAGACAATATGTGCACATTATTATTATCATTATGACCGTAATTTAATAATTTAATGTTTTTAATGAATTTTCCTACTATAAAGAAAAAACACTAAACATAAACAAAGCAAAAAAAAAATTTTTTAATAGGAATAATAATTTTTTAATGTTTTTCTATCCGCCAAACCTCGCTTTTATTATAAGCCATAGTTCTTATTTCACCTTCTAAAAATTTGTAAAAACTTGATATTTTTCGTACTTTTGCTTTATTAACTTCTTTTTTTTTTTTTTCTCACCCCACGTTATGACAGTATGTGGATTAATTATACCAAGCGCGTTTGCATACATTTTCAATCAATAAAAAAGTTTTTGCACAATTTTTCTGACTCGATTTTGAGCTAGCTACCTCATTAGCGTGAGTAATATTATCTTTTTGAGGGAGCAAGTTGGAATTACTGTTTTTGATCTACTTTCCTTCTCTCTCGAGTAATCGGATATTTTCATAATTTAAGGGTTACGTTTATGTGATGTTTTTCAGAAATTCTCCATGATTATTCATATAATCATATAAAACCAATTTCTCACCACAATTTTCTCAAGGTATATTTAAAATGTAACGAATTAAGGTTATGTTTTAACGTCAACTTTTAAATTTTTCGCACCACAATATTTATCCAACCTTC